CCTAAACCCCAAACCATTAACCCCACCAAACCCGAAACCCTAAACCCCCAACCCCAAACCCTGAACCCCAGACCCTAAACCCTAAACCCCAAATCCCAAACCCTAAACCCTATATGCCAACCTAAAGCCCTAAAGCTTCCTGAAGCCCCCAATCTGACGTTGCCCCACACACGGAGCCTCCAGAAGGCCTGCAGGCCATACTATATTATTTAGGAGGACCCCCCACCCTGTAATAGTGGGTATATTAGGGTTTAGGGTTTAGGGTTTAGGAGGAATATAGTAGGACCCTAATATAATCCTTATTATCCCTTATAGTCACTATTTCAGGGTGGGGGGTCCACCTAAATGAGACTATAGTATACTGTATGAGACGATATCATAGTACATTATACTATATAACACTATAGTATGCTATATTGCACGATAGTATACTATATTCTGCTATGTTATACTATATTGTGATGTTGAGTTTGATAATTCAGGATTTAAAGCTTGGGGCTTCAGATTTTTTAGGGATTAGGGCTTAGAGTTTCAGGTTTAGGTTTTACGGGTAAGGGTGCGCAGGTTCAACATGTTTTGGGTTGCTGGCTTACTTAGGTTTAGGGTTTACGGCTTGCCAGAAAAACAATTTCCTGAGACTTCAAATGATAATGATTGAGGTCTTGGGATCTCTAAGCTTTGGATTGGCTAGGGATTTTTGGGGGCCTTACGGAGACTTGGAAGGAAATCCATAAGATTTGTTCTTGCACCGTCGAGGCCACTGGATTCTGCCTTGAGCATGCTTGTTTACAACCCAATTACATTCAGACCTAAACCCTAAACCTTATGAACCCTAAACCCTAAACCTTAAAAGCCTTAAACCCAGGCGGGAACTACGTTCTTTTTATGTGGCCCCTTGCTCCGATAAGGTTGGCCTTCCAGGGGGAGGGGGCCCTTTCAAGTGCTGTTCGATACCTTAAGCCGTCAACACGAAGACCCCTCATAATATGCAATATAGACCTCCCTAGGGGTCCAAATAGCCCCATGCAGGTAGCGTGTACAGTCTTTGAGGTCCAATGTAAGTAATATTTGTTTACTTGGATCCCTAGGGCCTTAGTGCTACATAAATACCAAACGTTCCAAGCAACTGGCACTGGCACAGCAAGGGTTGGCAGTTGAAAGCAGAACGTTCTGGACTTGGGGTTTGGACGCGGTGATTTTCATCATTAGAGAGCCCACAAATAGACCCCAACATATTATGACCCTTAATTTGGGGACCCCCCAAAAACGGGGCCTCTAATTTTCGGAAATCCCCATAATGTGGGGTTAGGGATTGGAGGCTTAGGGTTGGATGGGATAAGGGCATGTAGTCGCGTATCCAAACCCAGTTTCCGGCCTAGTATGGGTGTTTATTTCGGCCCGGACACCTCAAATCCGAAATAGTAGAGTTGCTGCCACAATAATGGCATGTCTCCCTGTGTGTTATCAGGCTTCTACATGTTCCAGCACTTTGGGCCATGACACCCTTAACCCTAAAGCGTAAAACCCAAAGGCGTCCTGTTTCCATGGCCCACTGCTTGAGCTGCTCAGGGCCTTAGGACAAAGTTCAAGGTTTAGACCGCACGCCTAGACTAAACCCTAAACTCTTGGCTCTTCCATACCACCCCGGCGAAAGAAAAAAAAAACGAGGCCTGTCTTACAAAAAGCCTAAGCGCAAACATCAAAAATGCTCAGATCTGAGTGTGGGTCTGTAAAGAACTCTAACTTGGGCTTGGGATTTCACTTTGAGGCTTGCGGCTTGAAGTTGTTAAGGTTCAGGATCAGGGCTTCTGGCTTCGTTCAGTTTCCAGGGAATGAAGCACAGCATCCTTAAGCACAATACAAGCCGCCTGGCTATAACGAGCGAGCCACCAAAATGGGCCTATGTTTCTGACACCGGTTGGTCTAATAATGAGAAACAAGCATCTACAAATAGCTGTTTAGGCTCCACACAGGTCCTCATCGGCAAAGCAAGGACATGAAACGGACACAAGCCAGCCAGCATTAGATTCAGACGCGCTTGCACCCGTCCTTTCAATTCCCATCACAAATACTCCACCTCATGCCATCGATTAACACGTTAACGTGTGTGAGCGTCGCCAAACATGAGTCAATTGAGAAGAAATCCAACAGCCTCAGCCCTAAGCTCTAAACTTTCAACATCATATTCTGGAATGCTGACAACCGCAATCTGGTTTTAGGGAAAAACATGATTTGCAGTAGTGTTTAACGAAGGTAACAATGGCCCAGCAACGATGAAGCCTATAGTATCCCTATAAGACCCACAACAGTCGTCTCCATTTTCTTTTCCATTATCCCTAAAGTACCCCTATATAACCCATAATAGTCGTCTCCATTTTCTTTTCCATTATCCCTATAGTATCCCTATATAACCCATAATAGTCGTCTCCATTTTCTTTTCCATTATCCCTAAAGTACCCCTATATAACCCATAGTAGTCGTCTCCATTTTGTTTTCCATTATCCCTATAGTATCCCTACCCTAAACCCTAAACCCTAAACCCGAAACCCTAAACCCGAAACCCGAAACCCAAAACCCAAAACCCCCCTATATAATCCATACTAAAGACCGAGCCCAGCGCGGGGTCGGATGGCCAGTGGCGGACCCCTCGGCGTGGTGTCATCATACCTGCGGAAGGACCCAAATAATAGGGGTTCCTATAAAGGGGTTATAGGGGGACATAAAGGGATATGTGGGGACCATTTAGGGGCATATAGGAGCCTCTTGCCTTGGCTTTAGGGCTTATGATGTACGGTTTAGACCTTGAGAATTTAGAGCTTGTGGTTTAGGAGGTATGAAGCTCATGCCACAGGGCGTGGTGGTTCTACAATTTAGGACTGAGGCTTTTAATGGGGCATGCAAGAACGCATCGAGATGAGCCATGGAGACTCCACCGCCTCCTCGGCTTCGAACGTGCGGACTCTTGCAAGTTGAAAGTGCTTTGTGGGAGTTGTGATACATCATGTGCTAAGACGTGTGGATTCTATCTCTCCTTTCCCTAAGGGTCCAAGTACCCAGTAATCATAAACTTCCCAAAAACCTGTACTGCAATTACTATTACCCAAGTCCAAAGTACCCAATTATTGGATACTTGGACCACTTAGGACTTGTGGACTCACTGCCACTGGCTTGAAATAAACACTGCCCAAGCCTTCCCTACATCGGCCCCACTCCCAAGTGCCCTGGAGCGTCCACGACTCTACCTGTAGGGTTTAGGGTTTAGGGTTTAGGGCTCAAGAGCCCCAATGCTGGACATCCTGAGCCTGGCCCCGTAGCCACAGCAAATCCCGGAAGCCTGATAACAAAAACAAAGCCATCCTTCATGTCTAAAGCCAGCAAGTACCAAACCCCAAGCAGAAAAAAGAAAAAAAAACTGGCGTGGCATAGACACCCGCTTTCTGTTGCATGCAGTGCTTTGACCCACTTTGATCCCGAACCCAAAGATTCTGAATTCTACAAGCAGGGCCATCGCACACTGAACGCTCGACCCTGAACCGTGAATCCGGCCACAGTAGACCCTACATCCTACATTCCACCCGGAACCGTTTAAGCCCTTAATTAAGCCCAAGTCCTAAAGTAACTCGAGATCCCACAGTAAACCCTGAACCATTTAAACCCCTAAACACTGAACCACTACACCTTGAACCTTGAAACCCAATCCTTTACTCAGCCTCCAGTGGCTGGCATAGACGACGCCGCGGTCCGACAGCAGGGAAGCTGCTTGTCGGAGCATGGCAACAGGCTCCTCTTTGGGTTGCTAGGGTCTAGGGTTGCTGGGGATTAGAGTTTATAGGGATACTGCAAAAGAGAATGGACTACGATTAAGGGTTTAGGATCTATAGGGTTTAGGGCTTAGGATCTATGGAATTATAGGGTTTCAGCTGTAAGTTTTAGGGTTGCCCTTGGGTGGTCAACCCTGCGCCAGAGGAACATGGAACCTGAAAAAGAGCCCTGTCTAGATAGTTCCATGTTGGCTTGGGGCAGGGTGTACATACCGCTTCGTTGAATTGTAGTGCCCTAAACCCTAAACTCTAAAACCCTTAACCCTAAACCCTAAACTCTAAAATCCTTAACCCTCAAACCTAAACTCTAAAACCCTTAACCCTAAACCAAAACTCTAAAACCCTAAACCCTAAAACCCAAACTCTAAAACCCTCAAACCCTAAACGCTGGCACTTCAGCGGTTGAAGAGGTCTAGGCAAATCAGACTTGAGGATGGACGATGTAGGTCTACTGCTGAGGGATGGCTTAAGGGTACAGGGTTTAAGGTAAGGATATAGGGTTTAGGGTTTAGGGTTTAGGGTTTAGGGAAAGGGTTTAGGGTTGCAGATTATACATAACAAGGGTAGGTCTGAACATATTTTTGAAATTCATATTCTTTCATCGTTTTCTCTATATATT